CTATGCAGGGGGTCAGACTTGATGATCTATTGAGGTCCCTTCCGACCCTAACATCTATGAATCTATGAAAATCAATTCAACTGTTATATGACATAAAACATGTGGAATGATGTATAATATGCTGTGACATGACATAACAGTCAAAATGTTTCAGCTTTTATAGTATATTTCAACATATGATATTTTATATTTTATTTTTGCATTTCAAATTTTATTTTATAAACTGATTTTGAAATTGGTATTCTAATTGGCAATTTAGTTTACTAATTAACATTCTGTTAATTGCTACTTGGTTTACCCAACTGATAGTCTAACAGGACATTTGTAATTTTTCTAATTAGAAATTCGGTAATCTCCTACCATAACTGATATTATAAAAATACAAATAGAAAAAAATAACAAATGACATTACCTTATTTGTATGCCATATCATGAATGTTATGTTATATATATCATATGACATGTCAATCTAAAATGACAGGGCATATAACATTATCAAAAGGGATGAAATTTAGCTTAACTTAAGCAAAATGAATAGTTTTGATTTTTTTTTTTCCTCAAAAGTTTATCTGCAATTGAGCACGTTTGGAACTACAAAAGTGGAACCATGCTATTAGCGATCTCATGCTAACTCTTAGGGACCTGACATGTAATGTGGACATTGGAGGCTGTGGGAACAGTTGAGCTATATGTGCCTTTAGTGGCACCATAGGAAAACGAGTCCCTGGCACTGAGGTCAAACAGCAGAACCCCACTCAGGCAAAAGTAGTCAGCCAGCAGTGAGAGCAGACCTCCCCCTCACCTGACTCTTCCATCCCCTCAACACGTACCAGCTTATCCTGTTTAGATGAGAGTCCTGGTATCCCAGGTGGGCCAGGAGGGCCAGGCGGTCCAGGGGATCCTTTCACACTAACCCCTGGGTCACCCTAAGCAAAGAGAAGAGATCACAGAGCACATAACTGAAGATTTATTATCCACTGTATGCGAGCCCCACAAAGTAGAATGACATTTCAGAAACATGCCGGCTGGGGGCCGAACCATGTCAGATCAGAGAGCCCAGCCCATGCTGCCACTTTACCCCAAGGCCAGACACTCACCTTCTCACCCTTGAGGCCAGGCTCCCCTGGAGTTCCTGGGAATCCCTGGGGCCCAGTGTCACCCTGCAAAGGGAAATATGATAGAAGAGAGCCTGAAAGAAAAACCCACTACAATTCACTGTACACACCGTATAAAGCAAGGAAAAGATTTGCATTGCTGGAAGTAACAAACTAAACAGCCTTCTCAGGAAGCCCAATTCCAACCCTAGCGCAGGCAGGTTAACCCTTCCCTGACAGCATGGGCAGTCACAAATAAGCAATAAGCGGGAGGGGGAATGAATGGGGTGCTGGGGAGGGCAGGGGGGCAGTGCGCTTGATCCAGGTAAGTGGGGGGTAAATACAGGGTGGAGTGTTTACACTAAGGCATAGTGTACACTATGCCTTACACTTAGTGTAACATGAACTGGGCAACATGGATCAGAGATAATCCTGCCCTGGAGTGGTATCACTTTGAGCTGCCTAGTGAGTGTTTAAAACAGTTTCAGGTATTAATATGAGGACAAGCCAGAGGTTAAGAGCTCCCAAAATTACAGTGTAACAAGGCCCTAACACAAATGCAATGGGTTTGGATGGTAGACACAAGTAGTAACACTTACAGGCTTGCCGTCTTCACCAGGATCCCCCTAGAGCCAACACAGAGTGGAAAGAATAAATAAGAGAGAGGCCTGGAAAGGCTGCATATAAAGACATATTGCTGCTTCTACAGAGCCCAAATGTGCCCCCCTCCCCCTCGGGGAATCCCCCACAGGCTGTGCCAGTCAGCAGGCCCCTCCAAAGCCTCCCCATTCACTGTCCCTCAATGACCTTCCCACTGCCACTGCAGACGTTGTTGGGATTTCAGCAGCACTAGCCAAGACATCTTCCTACCCTGCTGTAGCATCCTGTGGCTGGAGGGTATTGGCTGCTCCACACCCCTGGGGAGGGCCTGGCTGCTCCCTGGTCCCCTCACTGGATGGGGGAAGGGTTTACTCACAGGCTCTCCATCCTTGCCAGGGAAACCATCTTTCCCGGGAAGCCCTGGGGGGCCCATGGCTCCTGGAGGTCCAGTGACATGCTCTACCACAGAGCCATCCTGGTGCTGCAAGATGGTTCCAGAGGGCCCTGGGGGGCCAGGAGGACCGGGATCCCCTGGAGCACCCGGCTCACCTTTCTGGCCCTTTGAACCTGGATACCCAAATCCTGCACTTCCCTGGGGATAAAAGAGGGAAACAATTAATCACCAGAGCATGGTCAGACACTGAACATAGTCCAAGAGGCCTGGGCCCAGCCAAACTCCTCCATTGGGCCCTGGAAAGCACTGGAAGCAGGGTCCTGCCAGCAAGTGCCCACCTATTTTGCTCTATTGGTCTCATGTGGAGAAGAAACACCTTGTTTCTGGGAGTTTTCTGGGCTTGCCAAGATGTGAAATCTCCCCCTTTGTGCACTCGCTGCCATGGACAGTTCAGCAGCAGCCTCCACTTTCTCATGCTCAGCCAGGGGGAAACTCAGTGACAATAAACGAGCTTCCCTCATGTCTCCCTCCAACTTCTTCTCCAGGCAAAGACTGAAGTAGAAGACTTCCCTTCCCTAACTCCTGTCTACTTGTCTCCGTATCCTTGGAGAGTCCCAAGCAGTAGCCATCCTTCTTGTGAGCCTGGGAAGGGCCTGGCATACAGTGGGCACCACTACCAGCAACAACCACTACCACCTCAATATCTAAGGTGACATGCCTCTGGCTGCTGGGGAAGTGTGACCAGGAGACAGCCACACTGAGTAAAGTGCCTTACTGACAAGCCTGGTAAACACAGGCTATTTCAAGGCTCTTTATCTGGACAGCTGCATTTGTGATGCTGTACTAGTGACAGTCCTCTGCTAGAAGCTATCACTCATGCTTGATTACCTACCAGCCTGGCTCATATCAACATCACACTTTCACACTGAGCTAACCTGTTCAAGAGGCATGTTTCTGGGAAGCAGTTGTGCTAAGCACAGCAGCTCACTGGAATAAAGGAGGGCTGAGAACTGAGCAAAGACCAGGTGGTTGTGTGACTGCCATCCAGATTCCCAGGAGTACAACTCAGCTGCAGGATAGTGGGTCCCTGTGCACCCCTCTTTAGACAGCATGGATCTGGCTTTTAAGCCTTCTACATGTCTCAGGGACCTATTCTTGTATTCTTAAAAAGAATAGTCTCTCTGGTTGTCAGTCACTGCACTTCAGATAATAATGATCCCAGGGAACACTTCTTGTTGGCACATGAAAAGCACAATTCCCAGGCCTTGCCAATGGCTTGGGCACACACTCAAAGAGACTATTATCAGCAGTCACGTGTGAACCTGCCCGCACAACTCAACAGCATTTTCCCTGAAAACACCTATTAAACACTGACCCCAAGCCCACTTGGCCCATCTTAACACCCAACTCCATTACCACAGTCCCCATATCAAAATAATTTGTAGCCTCCCTCAGTGCCAAGTCCCAACCTGGGCCCATATCTCCAGAACATCCACCTCAATCCTGGCACTACCCACATCGTGTCCACCTCAATGCCTGGCCCACCATCGTCCCCCGTCCCCCCACAGTCAGTGCTCACCTTAACACCAAGTTCGCCTTTTTCTCCCTGTAGAATCAAGAAGCACAAGATTATGGTACCTGACTGGACTATCTGTTTTACAATCCAACAGATACCTACCCGTGAGGCAGGTGCAGATGTGTTTTCCATGATACCAGATATGGGTGGCAGCCACTCTACAGGCGCATCCAGATGAGTCCATCCGTGTGGTATGTGGTGTTACAAATACATCTGCAATGCAGATACCACACAGTCTGGTGTTCTCCATGCTGCAGGGGCGCACTGCCCATGCGTGCACTGCTGGATATCCAGGTGTCCAAAAAACACCCACAGGAAAAAAAAAACAAAAACAGAGCAGAGCCCACTCAGGCAGCACATGCTGCTGAAAAGTGGAGCTGAGCCACTCGGAGCCACGCTGTGGCTGTCAGTCATAGTTTCATAGTTTCATAGTTTTAGGGTCGGAAGGGACCTAATAGATCTTCTAGCCCGACCCCCCGCCAGGGCGGGAGAACAACAAAAGAACCCTAAACAAAAAACGGGACTCAAATGAGTCCAGCCAGGTAGGTATCCAGCCTCTTCTTAAAGATCCCCAGGGTAGGGGCCAGCACCACCTCCCTTGGAAGTTGGTTCCAGCTCCTAGCCGCCCTAACTGTGAAGTAGTTTTTTCAGATGTCAGGCTCTGCCCAGCAGGATCACCATGGCTGCAGCTCTGGGAGGCCCCCAGGACCCCAGGTAAGGCTGCTGGGGCCAGCCCAGTGCTGACTCCAGCCTCCCCTACCACACCCTAGGGTAACTTGCTGCATGCCAAAGCACATGTGGCATGGGCATTCCCCAGAGACAGGTAGCTGCGGCACAAAGCGCACTGCTGTTACTTGTTCCCAGGCAACCAAACTTCAACACTTGTCTGGATGCGCCTGTGATAGCTAGAACTAGAAGGGTTAATGAGCAGGTTATAACAGAGAAATCTGCTTTTTGAAGATATTTGGAATAGAACTTATAAAACAGTTGTGAACGAAGACCAGATCCTGACTGAGGATCCTCCTCCAGTTCTCCTTCTGACAGCGTAAATCGGGGATGCCTGACTTCGCTGAATCAACTTGACGTGTTTCTAACTGAAAGACTATCGATAAGTTACTAACCAAGTGAGAACTCTTGGTTAATTTCTCTGTTTTATTACTACTGCCAATTTGAATTTGTATTGTTATGGTGTCTGTTTATTAGCTTAACCTTTTTACTAACTGTTATATGTATAAACTATATCTTTTGTTGTTATCAATAAAATTTATTCTTTTTTATAAATAAAACTTGTCGTTGCTTTCCTTCCCAACATCTCCTCGATTCTGAACCAAAAAGCCCAGTGGCTAATAAAGTTGCAGTGCTCAGTCAGTCTGCAACTAAATTAATACACTCACAATGCCCAGCTAGCCTGTGACATGCGCCCTACATGAACATTGGTAGAACTATGTCAGGGGTTCCCTAATGTGGCTCTAGGAAGAAGCAGTGTACAGTAAAATTAAATGCCATTCATCCCTCTCTCCCTCCCTCCTAGTGCATGCTACACAACCAAAGACTGGATCCTGAAGCCATTCAGGCTTGGCAGATTCCACTTTGCTATCCATACTGGTCTCATGCACTGCACAAAACCAAGCCTACAAAGCCAGTTGCACTGCTGTGGTTGTCACTAATCACAGTGAGGAGGCTGTGAGGGTGGTGCCCAGATGGCAAGACTAGACAAGGTACTGAGGGAGATGGAGCTACTGAGCCTCTTGCAGTGAAGCAGAACTGCTGCCTGCATTCATAAGCTGGGGTTGGATGAGGGTTAGTTCACTACAGTTTGCATTATAACTACATCCCCTTGGATGAAGTTGCTAGAAAAGTTCCATGCAGCTGCACTGACCTTTTCTCCTTTGACACCACCTGTGGATGGAACCCCACCAGTTCTGGAGTCTCCTTTTGGACCACGTTCTCCTTTCTCCCCCTTTTCACCTTTTTGACCAACCCTGGCTGGAAAGCAAAAGGTGGGTATAATTATACTTGGGGAGACAGGTGAGCGCTAAATGGAATGACACTGCCTCTGGGGATGCAGGGCAGTCATACAGCAATGTGCTCTGCCCTACACAAGATACAACAAGGACAAACGCTGGCTACTCTAGTACCATCATAGCCAAGATCCCCATTTACAAAGCAGACACTAGCTGCTACCATCAAGCATGGGAAAACAGAACAACACTGGACATGTGAAGCATGAAGCTCCTTCATGGATCTGCTCATTTTCCTATCTTTGTTAGCTGAAGAACTGCTTTAAAAAAATCTCAAGCTGAAGAAATTCCATGCGACTTGTAAGTTCCTTTACTCCCACCACTAGCAAACTCAGTGCGGCAACTGTTGTAGCTCACTGCTTCAAACAATAGTGTTTGACTGTTAGCTACTTTAGCAACTCTAGCTACTGCCCTATTTAACAAACTTGCCAACGATACATGAACTAATCAGGTTCTCTCAGGCAATAGCCAGGAGTCTGTATGAAAGGCTGTGCAGCCCTCGTGACAATACTTGGGGAGAACTCCTATCTAGGAAGAAACAGTCTTACTCTTTTGTCTCAAAGCAGCTGATCAAGTTTGTGACATTTCTAATTTCTCTACACCGCAGGAAGTTTGCAGATGCCACCCCTGCTTCACCTCTTTGCTGGCTAGGGGATCAAATGGACAGAGTCTAGTTTTACCTCCTGTAGATACTGGCGGTGTTTCTTCTGCTTTGATGTGCTCTGTCTGCAGCTGAGAGCTCCCACTGACTTTCTCCACCGGCCTGCCAGCAATGGGGGGAGAAGTGACAGGGGGAGGTTTGGGGAGTCCTGAGACAGTTGGGATCCCCTGAACAAGACAAAAGAGTGGAAGTTAAGTGAGTGTGGGAAAACAAAATTATCTACTCTGCTGATATGGTTCAGCTCTTAGCACAGTCCTCCCTAATGCCAAGCAATGCAGGGGATTAACAGCCATCTGGCTCATTGCTTACTGGAAGCTGTTCCAAGTATGAAGAGCAATGAGTTACACACCCATAGAGTCTAAAGCCAGAAAGGATAATTGTGCTTCTCTGACCTGACCTCCTGTAGAACCTGGGCTGTAGGACTTCCTTCAGTTAATCCCACTTTAACCTAAAGGAGATCCCTTAGAAAAACATCCAGTTTTGACTTGAAAAAAGTCAGTGATGATTCCATCAGAGCCCTCAGTAAACTGTCCCCGTGATCAAGCAGCCTTGCCATTAAAATGTGTCCTTTGCTGATATTCTGAATTTGCCTAGCTTCAGCTTCTGATTTGAGAATGCTTTTGTCTGCTGGGCAGAGGGGCTTCATCAAAATTTTATTCCCCATGTAGGTGCTGTGATCAAATCGCCCCCTGACCTTTTGTGTGGTAAACTAAACAGATCGAGTTTCTCAAACCTGTCCCTAAAAGGCATGCTTTCCAAAATGTTCATTGTTCTCACGCTGTTCTCTGGACCCTCTCCAACTTACCAACATCCTTCCTGAATTGGGAACATCAGAACCAGACATGGTACTTTAAGGAGTTCTTGTACCAGTGTCAAAGACAGGAGTAGTATAATCTTCCTGTTCCTCATCAAGGCTTTCTTATTTATTCAGTCCAATTTATACATTTTGGTCCTACATCCATTAACTGATGTTTGTTTCTCTGTGCACTTGACAGCACTGATTACTTAGCAAAGCCTCACATTTAACCTTAGAAGGCAGTCAAGTATAATTATTTCCCCATTTTACAAATAAATTAATGGAGACATTGTGCAAGCTTACTTGAGGTAAAGACTGGAATAGAAACCACATTTTTTACACTGGCAGCCCTTGGTTTTATTCATTCAACTACACAGCAATTCAGAATAAAAGTGCCAAACCCACAGGTTTGGTTTTTCCCTATGAGCATGAGCCAATGTATCCCAGAAAACAAGAATTCTGGTCTCAACATGTCTAGATCACTGGCAAAGGTGCAGCCTTCTCCAGCAGCTGATCTACCCAGAAGACAGCAGTGGCTCTTTGAACTCGGGGTGGATGGGCTATGGATTTGAAGGTCCCAAGTTCAGCTCCTGCTGGAGTGGTTGAGGCGCACATACTAACTTATCTTTTCTAGTTCTCTTTTTAAAAAACGTCTACAGAATCTGCACAGTGAGAAAGTATCTGTAAAACAAACTTTGTTACCGTCTGACCATTAAAATCGGTCAAGCATGAGTTTTTACGACTCTTTATTGTAAGTTGCCACAAGCGTTGGGGGGGCAGCATAAAAATTCAAAGAAATAATTCAATAAATCAATAAAAATGCAAGCGTTTTTCTTTCGCCATGTGGTCCAATCATCTGCAACTTACACTGTCAGGTCAGACAACAGAGACAGAGAGCTGGTAAACAAGTAAGCCTCACAATGCATAAAACAGCCCTGCTCCAGACATTAAGCCATGCACTTGTGGCCCTATTCAGCAAAATCCATGACTTGTGGTCACCAAGTCAAGAAGCCACACCAAAGTATTATTTAATTCATTCCATTCAACAAATTTTCATTCTGCAGGAAAGGCCCCAAGAAAGCATGGTCCTACAATGCAAAGTCAGCCTGTATAAATGACACTGTGGGGCTGCAAGGTCAGCGTCTCTCAGGGGTTCTTAGCTCAGGCAAGGTCAGCCTGCATGGCAAAAGAGCACTGATATTTTCTTAAGTGAAGCCCTGCAAGCCCACCCTGACTGACAGGAAAGCCTGGTGTCTTCCTTCCGGCACATCACCAGCAGAAAAACAGCTGCAGGCTAGCTTAGGCCTTTAGTGAAAGCCACAGGATCCTGCCAAGTTCATATTGGAATTTGAACAATTCTAATGACATTCTGTTCATTCTCCCACAATGGCACTGTCTTTGCAAAGCTAACAACAGTAGAAGCAGAAAGGGTATTTTTGTCAGTAGAGGCCAGTCCATCAGACTCTGAACACATTCAGCAGAGCAAGTTTGCTGAATAAGGTGGTACCATTTCTACTGTCACTTCCTGAACAAAGCTGCACTTAGAAAGTTATCACAGGGCCAGAGTTAGGGATGTGCTATTGAAAACATGCGTCTTGTCAGGTATGACTAACACAGCATGAGCACTACCAAACGCAAAGCAGCAGAATGCACCATAAGTGGGAAACAGTGAGTCCTTAAACAAATCCACCCAGATCAGTGGCTCCAAAGCTTTAGGGACCTGAATCATTATCCTGTCCTTAACGGGCATCAATCCAGAGTCCAGACACTGTTTGGACTGAAATCCAAACGCATTATGGTTAAACGGCTTGTTTCCAGGCCCTAATGCACACGTGGTGGAAAGAGGTTTAGCAACTGTCTTTGGACTCTTGGGAACTGGATGAAATCTGGTTGTGACAACTGGAATTTAAACATATCATTGGCTCTAAGATACTGCTATGTGGAACTGTGAAACCAATGTACTTCTTTAGGGCAGCAAGGGAAGGTAATTATTTGTTGCACGTGCTTTAATGGTATAGCTAGGTTGACGAGTAAAGTCAGTTGTGCATGGAACCACTAGCTGGCTCAGTGTGGCAGGAGAAAGGGTCAGGACACCTGGCACAAATCCAGGCTACGTCACTGTGTTTTGATGGCATGGGGGGACTAGCCAGAGAATCAAGATCATGATTAGACAGCATGCTACAGAGAACAATTGTTCAAATCAATAAGGAGTCCCTCTTCCTTCCCCTCCAGCCTTACTGGGGAGAGAGAGAGAAATCAGGTCCACAAACAAGCAACAGACTTAAAGGGCCGAAGAGCCACTGGCAGCACGCTGGCAAACTCCCACCTGCAGTTTGTTGCTTTGTGCAAGCCACTGTGGCAATGAAAACAGCTGAAGTGGAGGTGGTAACAAACAAGGAAACCACCCCCAGGGTTCCTCAGTGTTCCAGGTTTTAGCGAGGTCAGGGGATTTCCTACCATCCCACAGGTGACAGAGAGTGGAAGGAGTCACAGCAATATAGTTTTATGAGGTGTATCCAGAAGGGAACTGAAAACCAAAGCAATGAAGGAATGTCATTCACCCCACAGCCACAAACTCACCCTCTCCTTTCCTGATGAGTGGAGTTTTTCCTCAACTCCACTTCCAAAATCTCCAGACATCTGTATCATTCAGGAGGAGGAAAAAAAAGAAGCACACAAAGTCAGACAATACAGCCACAAATGACTGAGGTCTCAAATTAAGACAAATTTACTTCACTGGAATCTACATTCCCTTCACAAAGAAAAATAAACCTATGCTTCACTGTAGGACACGTGTATCTTGAAGCATCCTTGCAGCCCCAAAAGATTCCTCTCCTTGCTGATAAGGCTGTTGTTATTTCTTCCTACCATGGAGAAACTGGGGTCTAACAAAAACAAAACATCCTAGCCCAGGAGTGGGCAAAATGGCAGATCCAGCCCCTGGCTGGACTCTATTTTCCAGCAGCTTCTGTCCGTGCAGTTTCTGGGCAGTCTTCATGGAGACCCTAGGAGCGCAGGGGCATGACAGTGTGGGGCCACAGAACCAGGGCTTGGCCCTAGCCATGCCCCATGCTGTCGTGGCCCCACGCTACCGGGGCCCCCATGGAGATCAGCCAGGAGCTGTGCGGGCAGGGTGCACGGCTGGGTGGGGAGCTGCATCCAGGGCCAGGAGTTGGCAGCAGTGACAGCACGGGGCAGGGGCAGGGCACAGCCATGATCTGCTCATTGTACATCCCTGCCCACAGAACCCATGCTCATCAAAGGGGCACGTGGGCACCAGATCATGGCCCTAAACTGTGGGTTAAATTTTGCACTGATTCCAAAGCAGCCTTTTAAGAGATTATTTTAGGAAGAGGGCTACGCTGATCGATGTAAGCCGGTGGTGCCCAACCTTCCGAGTCCATGGGCTGGGTGAGTGGTGCAGAATCAGTCCACAGGCCAGATCCTGTGTGGAGTCAGCATGTGGGGTCTGGTTCTGCGCCAGCCTGACCTCACGCACCCGGATGCAGCCCTGCACGGGGCCCAACCCTGCATGTCCAAATCCAGGCCTACGCTGGCCTGATCCTGTGTTCCCAGATCTGGCCACCTGCTGGTGCAATCTGGCACTCAGAACTACATCATCTGGCCTACAGTGCTGCCCACAAGTCCAGAAATTTGGCAACAGGGGAGCAGCCATTAACACTGCCACCGCTCCCTTGCCGCCAACTTTCTGGACACTGGGGGAGCCCTGTGTGCTAGATGATATGGTTTTACAGGCTGGATGTAACCCATGAGCCAGGGCTTGAGCACCACTGGTGTAAGCAAACCACAACTAACATAATCTCCCAAGGCAAAGCACTCACCTCCTCAGTATCATCCTCATCCTCCTCACACTGGAGTACAGCAGCATGGGGATCATTTTTTATCTTCAAATCTGCTATCACGCCCTGTAAAACACACATTAGCAAATAATAGTGCCATGTGACCCGTGGGTTGCGCAGTCATTTGTTACTACAGTGTGTTGCAGTATGACAGCAGTCATTGGGCTCACTAAACAACTGGGAAATGGTGAGAATCATTTGCGGAATCAACCAAACTCAGGCCATGTTCTGACTGGCCACAGTGCTCAAATCCAGGACAGCTGAAGTGAAATTTCTTTCAGGACAGTGAGAGCCACACAGCTAAGACACCCACAAAGGACTTTTGTTTTATGCGAAGCCATTGCTCAGCTGTTCTGTGCTGTGAATTCAGTAGCTCCATATCAAGCACTTCTCTCTGACATTTCACATTAAAGGAGGAGAGGGGTCAACATGCACTTGTTTTCCCCTTGCAACGCATGTGTCAGAATTGACAGTGCTGTAAATTCTCACTTTTCCTGGAAACTTCATGCTACTCTAACTAAATATGCAAGGGCAATAAAAAGGATGTGATTAGATGGCTGGCTCTTAACCTGTATTTTCCCTAATTTAGGAAGTCAGCAAAACCCTGTGATTGAGCACAGCCGTTGATTCAATTACCAGGGAATACGTTAAGTCCTCTTGTGCATGAATCCAATTTGCCACAAAGACTTTTGTTGTATAACCAGTTAGCGGATCAAGAATTTATTCACCTGGCTTGAAATAATTTTTCCTTCAAGCTGTGACCCATTGTAACGCACCAGATTTTGGAACAGCGCAGCCCACATTAACTGCCTAAAAGAAAATGCAGATTCCTTCTTTTTTTCCCCCAAAGTTTTAGTTCTGGTCAAATGCAGCTTTACAAACCTGTCACACATCCACAAAAACAAGACACATGGTTCAAGCAGGCTTCAGGGCCAAGGCTTTCTCTGCTTTCAAACTTTAGATGAACCCCTGAGAGATCTCTCAAATGATAGGTCATGTAAGGGAGACTGGAGAAGTTACATACCGGCTGCAGGTCATTACTTAACACAAGAAAAGAAAAGAATCCATTCATGTAGAAACAAACTTTTCTTCCTCCTGTTTCTTTACAGTAAAAAGTTTGCTGTGAAGTGGTATTGTCCATATAGTGAATAACTGTTCCTTGAGCAAAGTTTTTTTTTCTTCAGTTACAATTGAAAATAAGTGAACCAATTATAAAAAAGAAATAAAGAAAAAAGGGTTTTGATGGGACTTAACTGTTCTGTGGAATAGGACCGGGTAATCATATTGTACACACAAACCCTGTGCTGTCAATTGTCAGAATCTATCTATCCAACAGAAGTATTCTGACAAAAAGTGCTAGTAATTTTTTATCCTTTCTCTATATTCTGAACTCCACTGTATAATTAATAGCTACCCTACTAATAACCTTGCCCCAATTGCTTGGCAGGTGTTTCTGGAGTTCATCACCTCAGATAGCAAAACTACAAGAAAAAAACCCCCCATGAATTGAGTTGTTTCCTTAGAATGATCATTGACTAAGCGGTGGTGCAGAGAAACGGTCTTGATTCTGCTCTGCTAATGTCAAAGCTTTCTCTGGGTGTAGGTCTACCCTAAGCCCATGCTCCTCAAGCTCCATTTGGAGGGCTAAAATGACCTGTGGGCTTTAGGCTAGCACAGCGATGGATTTAATTCTCAGTGAATATAACCCTTGCTGAGATTTGCCTATTGGGTTCCGAAGACTCCACATATACACATGCATTATGCAGGTTAGCATATAACACGTGTGTAAGTCACTCTCGGACAGATACACTTCGGACATCAGACCTGTTTGTGTGTGCACCCATTCAGCTCCTGGCTGGCTGCAAGTGGAGTTGCTTCTTCAGTGCTCCAGAGAAAGATCTGGACAGCTGAACACAAAATGACTAATTTGTGCATTTGAATTTGCTCATACAAATTTAACACCTGACTCTGGTGTCTGCATACAACCATGGAGTATGGCATGGGCTCCATCAAACCTGATGGGGGCTCCCAGTCACAGTATGCCACGGTACCGGGTCTCTGTACCTGAGGGACTCACAGCCCTAACTCTAAAGACAAGTTCTACACCAGGGATGTCCAACCTTTTTGAATGTGGGGCCGGATCACAAACTTTATCACCCAGTGGGCCAGCAAGCCATATTCAAAGATGTCACAGGAAGTGGTATCATATCAGGAAGTGATGTCACGTGACCTTTGAAACCAATGAAGTTGCAGGGGTTGACATGGTGCTGGTTGACATGGCCTACATGCCCAGGTTGACATGGTGCTGCAGGACCCACCTGGGCAGAACTGGGTTGGCACCAGCCAGGAAAAGCAGCATGCAGCTGAAGCCGGCTTCCCATGTGCTGCGGGGGACGGGAGGAGGCCCGCCAGGTCTGCACCGGCCAGCAGACGCGGCGGCGGAGCCGTGTGCTGCTCGGGACTGACCAGTGCAGGCTTGTCGGGTCCCAAACAGCACACAGCTCCACCACCGCTTCTGCCGGCTGGTGCAGCCCCGGCTGGGCTCCTCCCGTCCCCAACAGCACACGAGAAGCAGCCCCCTCGGGGCCTCGCGCATGGGCAGCCCGGCCCAGAGAGCCACAGCGCCCGGGGGGAGACTGGCTGGGGGAGCAGGCGCCACCTTGCTGTGGGGCAGGGCAGGGGAGGGCAGGGCAGGGCAGGGCAGTGGGGCTGGCTTGAAGCGGGCGGGTGAGGAGGTAGGTGCGGGCTGGCAAAGAGGTAGGTGCAGGCTGGCAGTGTCAGCGGCCATTGCTTGGCCCCCCGCGCGGAGCTGCTCCCCCGGACCCCACGGGGGTAAGCAGCTCCCCTCCCCTTGCTGCCAGCTGGGGCCCATGGGCCGGCCCTGCCCGCCACTGCCACGGCTCCGCGCTCCGCTCCACCGCCGCCACCGTGGCTCCGCACTGCCGCTGTGGCTCTGCACCATTGCTGCCGTGGCTCCACGCCCCACGGGCCAGATAAAATGGCTTGGAGGGCCACATGGCAGCCCGTGGGCCGTATGTTGGATAAGCCTATTTTATACTTTCTGTCTCAATGGCAAAATCAGAGCATGGCCAGAACGTAAATAGTCACGTTGGGTGCGTGCCATTCTGTCAGAGCATGTTTGTCTGGGTTACACTGCCATGGTAATCACATCAACAGGACAAGGCCAGTAAAGGCAGGGAGAAAATGTTCTGGCCTGGCCCTGCTCTACCACCCTGCTAGCTGAATTCCTATACCACAGGGAGCAGAGAAAGGAACAGAGCTTGACTTTCAGACAGCAGGCTGCATTTGGAGTGCTGTGATGAGAAAATTCCTCTGTCAAATTGGATTTAATGGATGTCGCTGACGGAATTAATATAGAGCCAATTGATGCCATTTTTACAGCATGTTTTCTGGATGTGCCTGGTCTTTAAAAATGGTCACAGGAGGTACTCTCAAACCTTATTGCAGTATGGTTAGTATTGAAAAAGATAGCATCTCTGTACCCACTCACAAGAATCCTCCAGTCCTTGTGGATGTGTGCACACGTACACACACACACACACACACACCACTTCCCATCCAGTTTTCAGTCACCTCATGGCCCTGGGACAGTTACAATAGTTACTGGTATGGAACAGACTCCCTGGAGAAGTGCTCTAATGCAGTATGGTGGCTGGAAGCAATGAGCAAGCCACACCTCATGGCCAGCCATCTCTAGCCCACCATCCAGTACCCCAGAGAGCAAAGTGTGGACCCCACTCAGGGCTAGAGAAACCTTTTCCTTGTGAGCCTGGGAAGCCAACCCTTTTCAGCATGGCAGCAGAGGTCTGAAGACATGTCACCAGCTCCAGTAGGAGGAAGCCTGTGGGAGATCCACTGAAGCTAAGGAAGATGTCACAGGCACTGTTGATGGGATGGCTCCATGCGTCTCTCAGGCTATACTAAATGAGAGAAAGAATATGGTTGTGCAGAAGACCCATCACTACCCAGAAGGAGAAGGTGGCTGGCAGCAGACAGCTCTGTGCCCATGTGCTTGAGGACCGATCTGCTTGGGATGAAGGTCAGGAGGCAGCAAGTGCCCTAAAAGGAGGCTAGATAGACACCTTGCCGGGGTCGTTTGACCCCAGCATTCTTTCCTGCCACGGCAGGGGGTCGGACTTGATGATCTGCTCAGGTCCCTTCCGACCCTACCAACTATAAAACTATGCCCTGAAACAGGGGCCAGAAGATAGTAACTTTGTCAGCCCAGCCAGACTCCATATACTGAAGCAGTGCCACAGGGCAGGGAGAAAATGGGTGTGGAGATAGGTACTCAAGAAGAGCCTGAGAGCAGAGAAGGAGCAGGAGAGGAAGTGGTTGAGGGGAAGCCAAGCCTGCAGAAACAAGGGTTATATTTCAGAACTTGCATAGGGGTAGAGACAAACCAAGACCTTTGAGGGGGAAAAAGCCAGAGGGCACCAAGGTAAAGAGAATAGAGCAAAAATGGGATGCAGAGCATGAAGAGGATGGAGAAAATGCATATTATAAAACCAGGCAGGGTGCAGGCTCCTCAGTATGGCAGCCTGTATAATGAGCTGTTTTTATGTCTAAAAGCTGGATAATAGGGGGAAAAATCCCAGGCCTTCACCTTTCTGGACACAGACAGGGAGGCACTTACTAGGTTTCTGATCCTGATCTGAGACTGCTGTAGCACCTGCATCTGTATGCAACAGGCCAATGCAGCATGGAGCCCTGAGAAGGCCATGGCAGACAGTTTCTTTGAGCACAATAGCCAAGGTTATTGTAAAGGGCCAGTTAAGGCTATAAATCCTTACATGCCTGATTAGAGACCATGGGACCTAACTTTAAACATGGAGTTCTGGCCCAGAGTTTCAAACCTCTTTTATGCCAAGTGCCTGCTCTCAAGAAGTAGAAATGGAGCAGTAAATCTTTAACTTATTTTTTTCCTCTCTCAAGAACTGAAAAAAAGTTGTTTTACATTTACAGATGATCTCTCAGTATTGTCTCTCTAAACAAACAGCCATAGGCTAGTCATGGTTTGATAGCGGCTTTTGTTTATATTTTTT